TGGCAAACAATTTTAGGGTGAGGTAGTAGCGTTCCATTTTGAATTTTAAGTAGCTGCCAAAGAATACCAGAATTTCAGTAGGGAAGGAGGATGATGATGAGGGTGATGAGTGAACGGGTAAGTGAGTAAGTGACACATGGCTGCTGAACATTGATGGCTAGGCACTAGAACTACTGAGTAAATGCACTTACCATTTAGTTCAGGTTCACAACATATGGTTTCCTTTATGATGATAATGTAAGCGTACCCATTTCTCTGGAGTACATGGGAACATACATAATTGATTGGGGAATGAATGACATGCAGCAGCAAATGAAAAAAGGGGTATTGTCTTTCATCAGCATTATTGGGTGCTGTCATCATCATTAAAACATTAGCAACTGCATCAGAGAAGATGGGGCTCCTGGTTTTATATTTAATTTCAAAAACCTTTTAAAAGTGTATGGCTGCCGGTTTTCGGCAATTTTTGTAATGGATATTGCCGTAGCATTTTAGATGTTGCATGGAGTTTATGAGTGTTGTGGATGTAAGGATTATTTTCTAAGTGGTGTTGAGATGGCAATATGTGGTTTTGGAGGAAAATGAAATTTTATGAAAATTGGATACCAACAAAAATAATAATTAAATATGATAATAATGATATTAAAAAGTAGTTGAAACAGAGGAAATGTTTTAATTTCCTGTTTTGAGTACTAATAATGGAAACAAATAATTGTTTTTATGACCCCAAAATTACTTGAGAAATATAGGTTCTCCTGGAGGATCACTTCAGAAGATTCAAATGTATCCGAACTATAAGACCTACAGGCAGCAAACAATTGAGAACTATATTTAACCCTAAAAATATATATTTTTTAATTTCCAATAACTATGTTACTTTGTTGCCTAGTGTAATTAATAATTTTAATACATATTTATGTATATCAACATACATACTGTCTCTTATTGAAATTAAATATTTTATGAAACCTAATATCCTCTTTTTTGCGACCCCTTCCAGTTGTGAACTTATTATTGTTACCAAGCCAACCAAGCAACTAACATTTGCAAAACAAGTCCTATTTACGTATGTGTGTGTGTGTGTGTGAGAATATATTTAATGCAGGTTATGTCGTAAGGACATACATATTCTGTTAATATTTATTATATTCAAAGACAATAGTATACACAGACTGCTGTTATGTTGTAGAGACCTTATACTTGAATTATTTGCAAATAATTTAAGTCACAACATTATTTTAATTAATTCTACTAGAATAAAAAGGATCATGGAGGGAACAAACAGCAGGCAAACAACTACATACATCAGGTGAACATTTTGTTTCTGAAGAAAATAACAAAATAATAATTTAAGGAATTAATATTATGGATATCAGAATGTTACAGAAACAACTAAAACGGCTTAAAGTTCTTCCCATCAACGGCTTAAAGTTCCCATCACTAGGTGTTGATGCGAACACAGGGTCTACCCCGAAACTTGATCCAATGTTGATAATTTTTGGTAGGTAGATTTTATACCCAATTTTAATTCAAAATATATAGGTAGAAAGATTTTTTATTCAATAAGATTCCAATATATTAAATACCAGCCTATTTGGTTGACTAAATATCGAAATTTAGGAGGTTTCATGTTTTAAGTTGGTTATCCTAACATATGGTCTGATTTGGATACTTATTGGAATTTTTATGGCGAGAAAATCGAAGGATAACGACAAACTCACAGTCTAAAAAACTAATTTTTTATACGACTATAGCAAAAATTCGGAAGCTTACAGCACAGGTTTTGTTGTCATAGAAAAATTTTAGATATGTGTTTGTTTCTACAAAAAAAAAAAAAAAAAAAACATTAACATTCCCATAGTATCTAAGTACCACACCAAAAAAATAATATTTAAAGCACCTAAGCTTAATGTTTAGGCTCTGATAAATAATCGCATTAAAAATATTAAAAAAATGCACGCCTTTCTAGAGAAATAAATAAATTCGCTTTCTATAAATCCACACATTATAGTAAAACTTGAAAAATATTCTTTATAACATCCACACTTTATAGTAGGGGTTGAAAAATATTCTTTACAAAATTCACGCCTTTAGGTGGACAAAAATATACTTAAACCAGTAAGGAAAGTAGTAAAGTCGGACGGGGCCGACTATATGATACTCTTCACCACTTTGGGTATATTCAACAGATGAATCCTAACAGACGTCACATTTTTGAAGCACCAGTAAAATGAAATTGGATCCATAAGCATGTGATTCTGAACCGATGATTGAAACATTTAGTTCAATTGGTCAGATATAGAAGGTATATCTAAATCTTAACGAATTTCAGGAAACTTACCGCACATCATTCTAGACCTAATTCATTACGCTGTGCTAAATTTCGTGCAAACCGAAGGATATCAAGGGACTTTGGTACACAATTTACCTTAAATCGGACGAAAATATATATGGAAGCTATATCTAAATCGAAACCGATTTTCAGGAAACTTACCACACATCATTCTAGACCTAATTCATTACGCTGTGCCAAATTTCGTGCAAATCGAAAGATATTAAGGGACTTTGGTACACAATTTACCTTAAATCGGACGAAAATATATATGGGAGCTATATCTAAATCGAAACCGATTTTCAGGAAACTTAACATACATCATTCTTGACCGAATTCATTACGCTGTGCGAAATTTCGTGCAAATCGAGAGATATAGAGGGACTTTGGTTCACCATTTACCTTAAATCGGACGAAAATGTATATGGGAACTATATCTAAATTTGAACCGATTGTTCCCAATTCAATAGGGTTCGTCCTTGAGCCAAATAAGTGACCTATGCTAAATTTCATCTAAATTGGATCAAAAATTCGACCTGTACTTTGTTCAGAAAAGTACATAGACGGCCAGACGGACGGACATGCGTAAATTTACTTAGAATGTGATTCTATGCATATTCCCAAAAGGAACCATGTGCCTATCTCCTTTCCTTTTCCCTGTTACAAACATATGCACAAAGACATAATACCCTGTAATACAGTGTGGTGAAGGGTATAAAAATGCAGATTTAATAATAGGCCTTTAAAAATATTCTCTAATAATAGACCTTGTAAAATAATCTTTAAATAAAAATCCACACCTAAAATCAGGCCTCGAAAAGAATCCGCATGTACAATTAGGTCTTAAATAATAATCTTTAACAAATCCCGGCCTAAAATTAGGTTTTGAAAATTAATCTTTAAAAAATCCACGCCTAAAGTCAGGCCTTGAAAATAATCTTTAAAAAATTCGCACATACAATTAGGTCTTGAATAATAATCTTTAACAAATCCAGGCCTAAAATTAGGTCTTGAAAAATAATCTTTAACAAATAATCTTTTAAAAAATCCACGCCTTATACTAGGCCTTTGAAAATATTCTTTGAAAATCCACGTCATAAAAACAGTTTTTCATTTATAATATGCCTTAGAAAATAGTATTTAAAAAATCCACGCCCTGTAAGAGGCCTTAGAAAATATTCTTTAAAAAATTCACGCCCTGTAGCAGGCCTTATAAAATATTCTTCAAAAATTCTAGGCCTTATTGAAGGTCTAAGAAAATATTCCTTAAAAAATATAGGCCTTATTGAAGGCCACAGCAAATATTCTTTAATAAAATCTATTCTTAGAAAATATTCCTTAAAAAATATAGGCCTTAGAAAATATTCTTTAAAAATTCCACGCCTTATAGTACGTCTTAGAAAATATTCTTTAAAAAATCCACACCCTGCAACAGATTTTGAAAGACTGCTTTCTGTCTTTCCGAGCATTTTTATACCCTACACAACTATGCTTTGTGCAGCCCCAAATGTTTGTAACGCCGCGAAATATTGGTCCTCTCGACTAGCTGAGTCGAGCCTATCTCGACTAGCTGAGTCGATCTAGACATGTGTGTCCGTCCGTCCGTCCGTCCGTCCGTCTGTCCATTATAATTTGTAAACACGATACAGGCCACAGTTATGGACCAATCTTCACGAAATTTTGCATGTAGGATGGGTTCTGGCCAATGAAGACCCCTATTGTTTTTGGAAAAGATCGGTTAATATTTAGGGGATGAAATGGACCAAATACTAAATTTTTGTCGGATTTTCTGGTCGCTCCAGAGGCCGCAATTATGGCCCAAACACCGCGAATTTTTGCATGGAGAAAGGGATCGGGCCAGAGAATAAGCATGCATGTTTTGATAAAGATCGGTCAATATTTAGCGGGTCAAATGGACCCTGACTTTTGTGTGAAAAATTACAAAATTTGTATTCTATGGCATATATATTTACTCCTGGAGGATGTAGACCCCAGGAGTTGATAGCATATCCAAGAGGAGTGGTTGGCCTTTAAATTGATACCAAATATAGTGATGTATCTACTCAGATGTGGGAGTTACAGTCAAATATTTACAGGTGCTTACGTATTCAGATATTATTCAGTAACCCATTACCACATTAGAGGGAGAAATATCGCGCTGATGGCTTTGAAATTTTTCATGAAGTTCCAGTTATGGTCAAGAACAACGCCTATAATTTTCGGTGATGATCAGATTAAAATTTTGGGATGAAATTTTGAAATGTCTACAACGAAAAATAAAATGTTTTACTCGTAATTAACCTTAGTATACGAATAAACCTCCTGATGACAGTAAATTTAATCGAAACCTAAACTGGCCTTTATAATTGAACAATTTTCTTTAGAATGGTCTAAAAAGAGAAAACCCTTCAATGGAATGAATGAAATGAAATCCGCAGAAATTAGATTTCCGTGATAGTTGTGTAGGGTATCGTATGGTCGGCCCCGTCCGACTATACTGCTCCGCTCACTGGTTTTATTTTAAATTTTTGTTGTTCATTTTTATGTTTTATTTAACATGTCTACAAAATGTTTATTTGTATCATAAAACGTAAAGTGTTTCCAAATACAAAATAAAAATAATTTGAATTTTATGTAAAAAAATTGCGGACCAATTGTTTATTTCTTAATGAACTACTTTTATTTGTTGTTGTTATTTTTCTTCTTTTTTGCAGATGGTCAACAGCTACAACCGCCACGTTTTACCACACAGCCATCATCGTCTGGGTCCATAGTCAGTGAAGGACGAACGAAAATTCTACAGTGTCATGCCTTAGGTAAGTCTGAGTGTGTTCTTTTATTTATTTCATTTTTTGTTTGTTTTTTTTTTCTGGAGATTTTTTTCCGAAAGGTTTGTTGGGCATACATTTCCATAGTCCGCAACAAAGGTATTGATTTGATATTATTTTGGCATTTTTTGGTTTTATGACTCTTGGGAGGCATAGAAAGCCAAGGAAAAAAGGCACCGGCCCAAATATTCATTGATTTGAAAAGTGATACTGAGAATGTGCCTGCATTCAGTACACCAGTAAATCCTCAAATTCCATTGCTTGATAATGAACTGGAAAAAATAATACGACCTTTTTGATGTCGCCTATGTTTTTTCCTACTTCTTTGGAAATTTCATGTTTTTTTCATGGGTATTTTTTGTAGAAAATAACTACCTTATTTCCCTTGTGTAGATGCCTTTTTTCGTTGTTGTTTGTTTGTTATTCTGTTTTTTGTTATTATTGGAGGTTTGATTTTCATACCTTTGGAGAGTTCGGGTGGATGATTTTTCCCATTTGAGGTTTTTATAAGGATCACAATTTGTGATATATGGGCTATAAGATTTCATACAGTCTTAGCCCTCTTTATTATACCGATAGATGGCGCCCATTCCTTTTAATATTGATTTTTTTTTCATATTCCACCCAGTAAAATCTTACTTTAATTAAAACCGAAGAAAGAAATCAACCAAAGAGGTAAACAACAGCAAAAGTCATCATCGACGTTAAAAAAGGCCAGTCAGCCGTAGTATTTTTATTTACAACTTCTCGATGCATTGCCTTAAGGTCCTTTCATTACTCTGCCATATATATCCACATTTCTCATAGAAGTCCTGTTTCATTCCCTTAATGAAATTTTCTTTCATTCATGTTTTCATTTCTTCTTCGTTGCACTTCTTTATTTACTTTTTCATCAATTTGTCCCCTTTGCCTCGTCGCCATTCCAAAAGAAGCCAAACATCGAACAGAAAAAATATTTCAATCATAAACTTTGTATTGGAAATTTCCTTTTAATTAGAAATGTCTTAGAAATGTTGAAACCTAAAGGACATTAGTCGTATTTTCATTTTGTAAGGCGACAAAATCTCTTATTAAATGACATAGACGAACTCTATGCCAATGGAACTTCTACTTGATGAAGGTCGTTGTAGTCGTGTGGGTGCAAAGGAGAAAGCTAAATGCAATGCTGATGACCCTTGGGCAGTGCTAATTCAATTAAATGTAATTTTATATGCCAGCTTTTTGGAATGACTTTTAATGTAATTAAATTTCGTTAGAGATTATTTATGGTTGTTGCAAATTTGGTTCTTTTTATGAGGCCTTAGAAAATATTCTTTTAAAAATCCACGCCTTGTTATGAGGCCTTAGAAAATATTCTTTTAAAAATCCACGCCTTGTTAAGAGGCCCTGAAAAAATATTCTTTTAAAAAATCCATGCCTTGTTAAGAGGCCTTAAAAATATTCTTTTAAACCAGTGAGCGGAGCAGAATAGTCGGACGGAGCCGACCATACGATACCCTACACAACTTCCATGAAAATCTAACTTTCGGTGGTTCTATATTCTGAGATTGGGCAATATTTCGCGATATTTGCACACTTTTGACTGACTAGAGGTCAGCAAATGTTACTAATAACACTGTGCAGCACTAAAATCTTGAACCAATCGAGACCCCCAAAATCTTGAAGCTTGTGATGGTGAAAGAAAATCCCTAGCTGGGTTTTGCATTATTAGCTAAGGTTTTCTTTTAAATTAATTTTTAAAATATTCGACTGGAGGTGGATTTTAACACAATTTTCGAATAATACGTACTTATTATTGAGTCTATATCTCGTGAACTATTCGAAATATTGCTTTTCTCTCTTAAGCAATATTCATCCTCTTAATTAGAACTGAAAATTTGTTCTTGAGATAAAATCAATAAAACATCACCATCATACTGAAAATAGCACAACTGCAAAAAAAAAATTAAAATTTCGACATACTTTTTCCATGTTTTTTCACACTTATTTCAGAAACTGCTACTGACTCGACCAAACAATATATGACAAACTTTGTTTACAATTTAACATGGACAGACAGACGGACGGACATGCATAAATCGACTTAGAAAGTGATTCTATGCATATTCTAAAAAGGACCCATGTGTCTATCTCGTTCCCTTTTGCCTGCTACAAACATATGCACAAAGACATAATACCCTGTACCACAGTGTGGTGAAGGGTATAAATATAAGTGACATATTGTTGCCACCGCTGCATATTACCCTGTGCATATATGGCAGCGACATGTCTTCGAAAAAAACCAAAGGCCCAAACATTTTAATTTTTACTTTAATTTTGTACCTATTTATTGAAAAAGCATAGCAATTTTTATTTCTATAAACATACAATTGGGAGTGAATTTCTTTGGTTCATTTTGATGAATTTGTGAGGCTATAACTATGTGAAGGAGTCAACCAATGAAATCGGGGTTTTAAGAAGAGTTGTTTGATTTGCTATTGGCTATCTTCTTGTCATGTATTGTTTGATCGAGTCAGTAGCAGTTTCTGAAATAAGTGTGAAAAAAACATGGAAAAAGTATGTAATTAATTTTAATTTTTTTTTATTGATTTTATCTCAAGAAAAAAAATTTAGATCTAATTAAGAGGAAGAATATTGCTTATGAGAGAAAAGCAATATTTCGAATAGTTCACGAGATATAGACTCAATAATAAGTACGTATTATTCGAAAATTGTGTTAAAATCCACCTCCAGTCGAATATTTTAAAAATTAATTTAAAAGAAAACCTTAGCTAATAATGCAAAACCCAGCTAGGGATTTTCTTCCACCATCACAAGCTTCAAGATTTTGGGGGTCTCGATTGGTTCAAGATTTTAAAGTTGAAAAATGTGTCACTGTGTAATAATCAGTACAGCCCCTCTAATTATATGTCCAGATTTCCTTCACCGTGGGTTGTGTTGTGATGTTCGGCTTTCGATACGAAAAGTACAAATAATTAAGTCCACTTCATCCGAAAAATTATTATCTGATCATCCCCTAAAATTTTAGGCGTTGTCCTTGACCATGACTGGAACCTCATGGAACATTTCAAAGCGATCCGAGCTATATTTCCGCCCTCCAGTGTGGTAATAGCTTACTAAATAATATATGAATACGTAAGTACCTGTAAATATGTAAGTGTAACTCCCGCATCCGAGTACCTACGACTATATAATTGGTATCAATTTAAAGGTCAACCACTCCTCTTGGATATACTATCAACTTCTCGGGTCTATGTCCTTCAGTGGTAAATATATACGCTATAGAATACAAATTTTGTCATTTTTCACACAAAAGTTAGGGTCCATTTGACCCGCTAAATATTGACCGATCTTCATCAAAACAGGCATGCTTATTCTTTGGCCCGATCCCCTTCCCCATGCAAAAATACGCGGTGATTGGGCCATAACTGAGGCCTCTGGAGCGACCAGAAAAACCGACAAAAATAAAGTTTTTGGTCCATTTCATTCCTTAAATATTAACCGATCTTTTCCAAAAACAATAGGGGTCTTCATTGGCCAGATCCTATCCTACATGCAAAATTTCGTGAAGATTGGTCCATAACTGTGGCCTGTTTTGTGTTTACAAATTATAATGGACAGACGGACGGACACACATGTTTAGATCGACTCAGCTAGTCGAGATACGACGATCGGTATACTTAAAGGTGGGTCCAGGATCAATATTTCGAGGCGTTACAAACTTTTGGGGCTGCACAAAGCTATAATACCCTGACAACATAGTTGTGTAGGGTATAAAAATCCATGCCTTGTTAAGAGGCCTTGAAAAAATATTCTTTTAAAAAATCCACGCCTTGTTAGGAGGCCTTGAAAAAATATTCTTATAAAAAATCCACGCCTTGTTAAGAGGCCTTAGAAAATATTCTTTTAAAAATCCACGCCTTGTTAAGAGGCCTAAAAGATATTTTAAAATCCACGCCTTGTTAAGAGGTCTTGAAAAAATATTCTTTTAGAAAATTCACGTCTTGTTAAGAGGCCTTGAAAAAATATTCTTTTAAGAATCCACGCCTTGTTAAGAGGCCTTAGAAAACATTATTTAAAAAATATCACACCTTATATTTTTTAATCCGCGCTTGTAGCTCTTGATTCAGACAATTAGTTTTGTTGATGTTTTTTTTTTTAATCCTAGCTTGTAAATTATTTTCTCAATTTACGAATAAAATACCAATCATAATGGAAATTCCATTTAATACCTAACCTAAGCAACAACTTCATTACACATATTACAAATACCAATTTCAATTACCGTAATTTGTGGCATATCACAAACATACACCGCCACACACACACATATGTACATATTTGCCATGATAAATAAATATTTTTAATTGCAGGATGTAAAATATAACAAATATTCGAATTTAATTGTAGCAACTAGTTTTAGAGATAGAGCAAAAAAAAATGGAAATGCAATTTTTTTAATCCGACAATTATCACACGTTAAACACATGTTTGTCCACAATATGGACACCTGGTTTGAGCGATTTTTTTATAGTGCAAAAGGATGTTGTGTATTCAATGACAGGAAGTTATTTGAAAAATTACTTTAAAAAATATATAAAAAGTGAAATGTACCGGATTTAACATATTTAGGCCTACAGTATCAGAAAATTGAGATTTGGTTAATGTTTATTTATATTATTTAATTTTATATTATATTATATTTATTTATTATTTTGAAAAAAATTTTAAATATTTTGACATAGAACATTTCAGCCCATATGTTACACACACATATACAAAATAGCTCTGGCTTTCCATTATAAACTCAATTTATAAATTGTTTCCAGTTAAATAAATAAATGTTGTTTCTGATTTTCTCCAATGGCCGATAAATCCACATTGAAGCCACAAATGAGGTTTAAATGAAATACCTCCGACTCTCCTCTCTCTCTCTCTCTCTCTCTCTCTCTCTTCGCATCAGTGTAATTGTGTTATAACAAATTTCT